GAGAAGCCCTTCAACATCAGCTGCTGGTCTCGGAACATGAAGGACCTCACTTGCCGCTGGACACCAGGCGCACACGGGGATACATTCTTACACACCAACTACTCCCTCAAATACAAGCTAAGGTCAGTGCCCAGCCCAGCCTTGCTGTGTGACTTCAGGCAGATACTTGTCTTCTCTGATCAAATATGCTCCTGTTGAACCTCTGAGGCTGAAGAAACCAGGTCTAAAGACTAAAAAGGGACTCCCCGCCTCCACAGGTGGTATGGTCAGGACAACACATGTGAGGACTACCACACTGTGGGTCCTCATTCCTGCCACATCCCCAAAGACCTGGCCCTCTTCACTCCCTATGAGATCTGGGTGGAAGCCACCAATCGTCTGGGCTCAGCTCGATCTGATGTGCTGACATTGGACGTCCTGGACGTGGGTGAGCCCCCAGTGCCTGTCCACCTGGTTTTCTGGCCCAGGCCCAATAAGGGCCTTCCCCCAAGATTGTTGATTCTTCTAGAAGTCTGACCCCCAGCTATGGTAGTTGCAGGATGGTGGGTGTCCACAACTCAATGCAAAGACCTTCCCCCCAAGACAGGCAAGATCCCCCCACTCTGCAGAAAACACCTGGCCTGATTACCCTCCCTCTCAGCAGCCCAGGTGTTCAGGAGGGAGTCCTGGGGGATCCAGGAGAGGGCGCCCAGGTCGGAGGCGCCCCAGGAAGCCGAGGCCGGGAGCTGGGGGGTGAGGGTGGGAGGCAGGAAGTGGATGATCCCTGAGCAGAATTGGGCCTAATCTAATTAGGGTGTTCCCAGCCCAGAGCAGCCTGGGCCATTTAACCCTTTCAGTGCCTCACTGAGGACTCCAGGAGACATCAGCTTATATTCTCTCCATGGTCCCCCAGAAGGGTTCCTGAGTGCTCCTGGCTTGTTCCTATACCCCCAGTCCACTTGTCTCTTGGCACCCTGAAGTGCCATCTAACCCTTGGTTGTGCCTGATGGCTGGCAGAGCTGCCCCACTGGGGCTCTTGATAATGTACAGGGTAACAGAAGTAGGCATGAGGTGGGGTGCCTAGGGATGGAGTCAAATAGCACCCAACACTTGTCATCCAGGTCTTAAGGAGGCCCAGGAGAAAGGTCATGATTATTGAGGTCAGTCTGGGTTGCATAGTGAGACCCTGGCTCAAAACACAGACAGTAGCTTTTGCAGTCAGCTAGTGACTTGATACCCACAATGGAACTCAGGGCCTTACAGATGCAGGGTGATGCTCACAGGTGCTGTTTAGTGAGGCCTCTGCTACTAAACTCCAGCCCCTGAGGACAGGACTGTGTGTCTTCCATCAGAGACAGTAATGGGGTTATCAGCTCACATTAACTGCTGCTGGCGGTTTCTGGAATAGTAAATGACAGTGGTCTGTCAGGCCTGAGTGAGTAGACAGCAGGTGGGGGTCTGGCAAATGCAGGCAGGTGCTACAGGAGCCACTGAAGCCTGGATCACACCACTGGGAGGATCTGTCTCTAGACAATTCTCACCAAGCATAGTCCTCAGGGCTGGAACTAGTTGTACGTCTTTAATTCCAGCACTGGGGAGGCAGAGGCAGAGGATCTCTGAGTTCAAGGCCAGCCTGATACATATAGCGAACTCCAGGTCAGTTAGGATAGTGAGGCCTTTTCTCAAAAACAACAACAAAAAACATCTCCAGTGACCAGGCCTGCTCCACCTCCAGTGACCACGGACCCCCCACCCGATGTGCACGTGAGCCGTGTTGGGGGCCTGGAGGACCAGCTGAGCGTCCGCTGGGTTTCACCACCTGCCCTCAAGGACTTCCTCTTCCAAGCCAAGTACCAGATCCGCTACCGCGTGGAGGACAGCGTGGACTGGAAGGTGCCCGTCCCGCCCCGGGCCCGCCCCTGACCCCGCCCCCCTCATCTGACTCCTCCCTCACCGTGCAGGTGGTGGATGATGTCAGCAACCAGACCTCCTGCCGCCTTGCGGGCCTGAAGCCCGGTACTGTATACTTTGTCCAAGTGCGTTGTAATCCATTTGGGATCTACGGGTCGAAAAAGGCGGGAATCTGGAGCGAGTGGAGCCACCCCACCGCTGCCTCCACCCCTCGAAGTGGTGAGCACCTCTCCAGGGCTTGCCCCGCGGGAACCCCAATCCCCCCACCTCTTTTATTTTGACACAGGGTCTCAGATAGCCCAGGCTGGTCTTGAACTCTCTAGTAGCCAAGAGTGACCTCGAACTCATTCTCCTGTCTCTGCTTCCAGACAGAGTGCTGGGATGACAGGCAAACCACCACACTCATGAGACTAGCCCTGTCACACTTCTGGCTCCAGATTCTGTTTAGCATGTCAGTTGGTGAGGGGTGAACAGGAGTGTGATCTATTGTAACAAAACTGAAAGCAGACTGTTTTCATCCAAATATCCTGGAGTTTCAAGAAAAGTACTTTATATAAAATAGAACATTACAGCCAATTACTGCATGGTCCTACTGCAGAGGATAGCACCTTTTGTCCCACACTGATAGACCACAGTGCCACTCCTCCCACCCTTGATGTCTGGTATCTTCTTCCTCAGCCACGAGTCCCTTTCATAAGGTGGCGAGGGCCTGAAGTCGACTTCCACTTTCTGAGCCCCTGGACGTGCTGTTCCCTTCTATGAAACATGTTGCCTGAAATGTCTGTCCTCAGTTTCTCTTATCTGTCCAAGGCTAGTGCTAGTGCTCCCCTTAGTATTTTCAGGCAGTAGAGGAGAAGGATCCCACACCCCCCACACTTCCATTGGTTCCCTACGAGGGAGAGAATGCTTTTTGTCCCATGAAGACACTGAAACTCCGAAGTCACACAGACATACAGTCAGTTTAGTGATGATGAGATAATGGGGAAACTGAGTCCCCGCGAAGAGTCCTAGAGGAAGAGAGGGTCAGAATCAGCTCCAGAAAGCTCTCCAACCCCCATCCGGGCCTCTCCAGGTTCTGGGCTGGGCGGGAGTGAACGCGGTCGGGAGGGGCCAGGGCCTTGGAGCTTTGGCCCTTGCTCGTGCCCAGCACCTGCGATTCTTGCACGGGAGCCAGGAGGCGGCTGTGTCCGCCCGGGAGACTGGGGAGGCCGGGGTTAGGGTGCGGGGGGAGGCAAGCAGGGGCTGTGGGGGCCGAGGCCGTGCCAGGGCCTGTCAGCGAGTCCCCAGTTTTATTTATGACGTGAAGCCGATGTCCTTATCCTCTGGCCTGCTGGAGCATGGCTGCGCCTGAGGGATGGACCCAGGGGCTGGCCTCCCACCTGGAGCCTCCCAGCCCACTCCATGTCACACCCGATCATTTTCTCAGGCTTATCTTGGGGATCCGCCCCTTGGGCTGTTGTGCCTTCTTCGTGAGCCTGTGTGCCACAGCCCACATGTGAAGGTCAGAGGATAACTTTTGTGAGTAGGCTCCTCCCATCACGTAGGATCAGGGCTGGTGGCAAGCGCAATCAGCAACTGAGCCATCTCACCAGCGTCCCCCTCCCTGTGTCTGTCTGTCTGTCTCTCCTCCTCTGTCTGTCTCACCTCCTCTGTTAGTTACAGGTAACCCAAACTTTTTTTTTTTTTTTTTAATCTCGCCCCAGTTCTGCCTCAGCCTACCAAGTGCTGGCATGAAGGCTTGTGCCACCATGCTTGGGGGAGGGCCCTCTCTCCCAGTGAGTGGAGGTACAGCCCAGGACTTCTGCCTTCCTATTTTTATCTTGATCGACCCCACCTGGTTTCCATCGTTTCCCTTTCCTTTCATTTTTTTCATTTCCGACCGAATACCCGGTTTTGCCTCCCACTGACTTGATCCTCCTTGCCGATCTCCATGGTTGTGGCATCTCCATCCCGCTGGGTGACGCGGGGGTCCACACCTGACGCCGCCCCCCCCCAACTTGCTCCCGGCTGCAGATCTGGTATGGGAGGCCGCGGTTCCGCCCGCGTGTGCCCCCTGCCGGCTGCACTCCGACACTACCGCTCCACTCTCTTTAGAGCGCCCGGGCCCGGGCGGCGGGGTGTGCGAGCCGCGGGGCGGCGAGCCCAGCTCGGGCCCGGTGCGGCGCGAGCTCAAGCAGTTCCTCGGCTGGCTGAAGAAGCACGCATACTGCTCGAACCTCAGCTTCCGCCTGTACGACCAGTGGCGTGCTTGGATGCAGAAGTCACACAAGACTCGAAACCAGGTAGGAAAGGGGGGGGGCGCCTGGGGTTGTGGAAGCTGAAGAGGAGTGTCCAGGCGTGCAGCCTCCACGACATCAAGCTCTTCTTTCCAAGCACAGGACGAGGGGATCCTGCCCTCGGGCAGACGGGGCACGGCGAGAGGTAAGGGGGTCCTGGTGGGTGGGGGTTGGGGCAGTCTAGAAGAGGCCTTCCCACCTTCAGGTTGCTCAAATGGGAGCTCTCTTCTCATTACTTAGCATGTATGAGCACCTACTGCATACCAGCATCCAGGCAAACCCTTTAGTGCATGATCACCAAGGTGCAGAGGGACACAGGGTTAATGTGGCCTCTTTTCTGCTCCCAGGTCCTGCCGGATAAACTATAAAGGACAGGCTATCCTCCTGCAGCTTGCAGAACTGGAGGTTTGCCCCAACTAGGGCCCCTCTGAACTATCACTTCGGGGGAACCAGAGAAACGTCACCAAGGGCTGGGGCAGGCACAGTGAGCTCCCACAGCCACAGAAATGGTCCGCATGATGGGTCAACCTTGGGTGTTTCCCAATGTGGGTAGCGTTGGAGTAATGACTTCGGTTACCCAGAGTCCTCCAAGAGTCCTAAATAAATGAGCTGTTCAGGTCCTCTGATGTGAGTGTGTTTGAGGCCTATGTAGTCTGGGGGATTGTAGCATCCTCCACCTCCACACCAGTCCTGTTCTCCAGGACACTAGAATACATGTACTAAACTCTTTGGGGGGGGGGGTCCTACTACCTGCTCTCCCTGTTCCTCTGGGGAATGCTCCCCACCCCCCATTGCCAGAGCCCATACCCCAAGATACAGAGATGATGAGAAAGCTGCAGAGGGAGAATTCTTTATTTCGTGAGGAGCATTGGAGGGCAGCCTGGAGGGGCACGACCTCAGCCAGCTGGCGATCAGGGCTGGGCTGGACGCCATGGGCCTCTTTCCCATCTTCCTCTGGTCCCTGGGGAGCCGCCCTCACTCTGCAGATTCGGCATCAAACCTGAGTTCCTGCAGAACCTCGCTGATCGCCTCCATGGTTTTAATTACCCTACAAGAGCGGATGGAAACTATAAATAAAACCCAGATGGGGTGAATTAGCTGAGCCGCACAGCAAGCGGGGAGGGGGACTATGGCAAGCCCCGGGCCCTCCTGCCTGCCGCCAAACCTCAAGCCCAGCCTGGGAGCATGCCCAGGAGGCGGGGTGGTTTAGTGGGTCACAGTGGGCTCATGGGAAAAGGCTGTGGCGGGGGAGGGGTGCTTGCCACCAAGAGGCTGGGATGTGTGTGCATGCCTGCCTGTGCCTAGAGACCTGTGATACAACTGCAGGGGCTCACACAGGAGCCATGTTCAAACTCCTAAAAGCAGGGAAACTGCACACCCTGGGAAGCATGCATCTAGGAGCACCAGTGTGCAAATCAGAGTGCCCTCTTCAGCTGGGTGGGTCAGCCCTGAGCGGCCGTGTGGTGCCAATCTAAGGTGCCAGGCTAAGGGGCCCACAGGGCTCACTTTATTTTCAGCTGGTGCAACTTTTCAGGGTCCTCCTGTTCTGACACTCCTGGTGTCCCCATCACCTGCAGCAGCGCCACCTGGAGGAGAAAATGGGAGTCACACGACAAAAGCCACATTGCCCTTTCTCAGCTTATCAAGCAGAGGGAAATCAGACCAAGAGTGGAGCTTGAGTGTGTGGGGAGTGTGGGTTGCTTTTAGGGTCCTCCTGTGGAAGGGCAGTACAGAAAATAAACATAGTTGGAAAAGCCAGGGATGCATGGTAGGTATGGTCCCACCTCAGAGACGGGACAGGGCATCATAGTTCCAGGAAGGAAATAAATCTGGGAAATAAATCAAGGCAGGGTTTGGGGTTCTGTACTACAAATTCCAGACAAAGCAATGTGGGCGTGGCTTCCAGTGGTCGAACCCTTTCCCCTCTAGGATTGGCTGTAAGGTCAGGGTAGGTGGAGCCTTGGGATATGGGTCAAGGACCTAGGAGGTTGTGCAAAACAGCACAGGACATGACTGGGGGCGTGGTTTGGGAGAAGCGGGGTGTGGCCCGCAAGCCTCTTCTCAGAGGTTGTGTCTGAGGTTATTTGTGGAGGATGTAGCTTGTGGGTCACAACAGTGATAACCCAGAGGTGGAGTGGAAAGAGACAGCCACAGTGGGCGGGATGTCGGGGCCATGGGGTTCTTGGGAGAGCTTTTCCAGAGGGACTGGATTAGGCAGAATCTGGGAGGGAACTGTAGGCAAACAGGAGACAGCAGCGGGAGAGGACCCAAATGCACCAAGGTGTGAAAGCAGAGAGAAGAAGTGGTTGGGTGGCCTGGAATGGGTTGTGGCTCATGCCCGGCCCCGAAGCAGAGAGGTGGTGGTCTTACCGTGGCCAGGCGCGTCTGTTCCAGGTCCTGCAGGCTGCGCACGTGGCGAGCGAGCACCGGCTGCGCACGAGGCCCCGCTAGTTCCGCTTCCACTGCCAGTACCTCCCGAGAGGCAGCGGCGAAGGCCTGGGTCACCTCGTGCACGACACTCCGATAACTCGGGAAGTCGTGGTGCTGGCCGCTGAGCAGGTACTGGCGGTGAGCTCTGCGGCAGGTGGGGAGAACGCTGAGCTCACGCCCCTGACTCACAGACCACATTCCCTGCTCCAGCCACCTGGAAAATCCACCCAACTCGAAGAGCCAAACCTGAACCCCACAGACTGCAGAGAGCCTAGAAATGGCCAATCTCTGCATTCTGAGAAGAAGGGGTGCTCCGGCTGCGGGCCACACCCCGCTTCTCCCAAACCCAGCCCTGTTCTACTCTGCGTTGCTACTCCTGGTCACGCCCCGAGTTCCACCCAACTCTTCAGGTGGACTCTTTCCCTTCCACTTTTCAGAGCCTCCCACCCATGGCTCTGCCCGGCCCTGCTCTGGGCTGCACCAAGCCACTCCCAGTGTCTCGGACCAGACTTCTGTGGCCTCTCAACCTCCTCCAACCAGGTCCATCACCCGATCCAGCCACGGCCCCAGACCTGACAGTCAGCCACACTCCCAGACCAACTCGGTCTTCACAGTCCTGCCCGGAGCGGCTACCCCAGGTCGCGCTCTGGCGAGCTCTCCCAGGTCCTGCCCCCTCCTCCTCCCGGCTTACTGGTCCAGGCGGCGGAAGGCCTGCGCGCGTTCATTCTGCAGCTGCTGGATCCTCTGTACCAACGTGGAGATCGGGGCGTCTCTCTATGAGGGCGTGGGGCCATGAAGCCGGCTCCCCAAGCCCATCCCGCCACCCCACACCCCTCCTGCCCGCGCCTGGGCTCACCCAGGCCCACGCCGGCTCCGTAGATGCGGGAGCGTCCACAGCAGCCGGCACCTCTGCCGTGGCGGTGAGCATGACTGCGCAGTCCGCCGGCGTTTGGGAACTGCCGCAGCACCCCCTGCCGACCCGGAGGTCCTTGACGGTGGCCCACGCATCTGGCACTTTTGAACTGTGTGCTATATTCCTTGACTCTGTGCATCCGCAGACCCTGGCCACACGTAGGTCAAATAGGGTCACAATCGTAATGTAAAGTAACAGGAGCGCCGGGCGTTGGGCGTTGGTGGCACACGCCTTAAATCCCAGCGCTCGGGAGGCAGGACGATCTCTGTGAGTTCAAGGCCAGCCTGGTCTCCAGAGCGAGTGCCAGGATAGGCTCCAAAGCTACACAGAGAAACCCTGGCTCGAAAAACCAAAAAAAAAAACAAAAAAAAAAACAACAACAAAAAACAAAAAACCAAAAAAAAAAAAACAAATATAGCCGAGCACGCCTTTAATCCGGAAGCAAAGGCAGGCAGATCTCTGTGAGGTGAAGACCAGCCTGGTCTACAAAAGTTAGTTCAAGGACAGCCTCCAAAGCCACAGAGAAACCACCTCAAAAACAAAACAAAAAGCCCCAAAATAATTCTGCATGGGTGATGGTAACAAAATGTAGCTGGGAGCACTTAAGAGTACTGGTTGCTTCTACAGGACCAGACCAAATGCCAATGCCCAAAGGTCTGTAACTGAACTGCCAGGAAATCTAATGCCCTCTTCTGAGCATACTGGGTACCAAGCACCCAAGCAGCACACACAAAACATCCATCCAGATGAACCTATAGAATATAGATGGACCTACTGTAAACTGGGTCTATGCAAAGACCCTGAGGCAGAGGCACTTAAGCCACGCCCCCCCGGAGGCTTTGTTCATTGCTATTAAAGTCTTCTTCCAGCTGGGTGTTGGTGGCTCACGCCACCCTGAGGCAGAAGCAGGTGGATCTGAGTTGGGGGCCAGCCTGGTCTCCAGAGTGAGTGCCAGGATGGGCTCCAAAGCTACACAGAGAAACCCTGTCTCAAGAAACAAACAAAAGGTCTCCTTCCCAGAAGAGCACTTGGATGATGGACACACATACATGGTTGACTGCAGGCTGTTGGCACACCAGGTTCAAATACATAAAATCCTTCAAATGCCAAGGGTACCGATTTAATCAGTAAAGATGTGGAAGTCCTTAGACTACAATGCCAGCTACAGACTGGTTTTTGTCAGTCAACCAGCCTCAGTGTGAGCCTGTGATTTCAAACCACAAAGAGGCAAGGTTGCTCTCTACACCATTGGCTCAGAACTTACACCTGGAACGGGCATATGGAACACTCAGTTAGGTGAGGTGCCCCTCCACAGACACCCTAGGTCAAGTTCCAAACAGGATCCCCACACCCCAGCAGAGACCAAATGCAAGATCACTTGGACAAGATGTTGACAGAGCAGGACTCACTATGAAAGTCTGCTGCTCACACGCCTTTAGTCCCAGCACTCGGGAGGCAGAGGTAGGCGGATCTCTGTGAGTTGGAAACCAGCCTGGTCTACAAGAGCTAGTTCCAGGACAGCCTCCAAAAGCCACAGAGAAACCCTATCTCCAAAAAAGAAAGTCTGCTTCCCCACAACAGCTGCAGGACTGACCTCCACCTTTACAGGGGTTCATATGATTTTAAATCTTAACCCACTGGTCTGTCTACCTTCCCAGCACAGGAACAGCCCTCACTGCTACACTACAGATGCCAGCAGTTCAAATGTGCAGGCCCATGCCTGTCAACCAGCACACTGCAGGGCAACTGTGTGACATGGTGAGATCCCCTTCTCACTGGTAACACCCCGTCCAGCCCATCCCGAAACATAACAGCCACTTGGACACCAGTTACTGCTCCAGTCGATGGAAGGGGACTTTATTTGGTCCCAGGGTCATGGGCCTGGTATGGCCAAAGCTTTATTTGACCTTCTTCTTGGGGCGCAGGTTGTTGGTGTGGCCACACTTCTTCTTGCGACAGTTGACCGCACGGGGGTGCAGGCGTGCGTAGCACTTGCGGCAGATCATCTTGTCACAGTTGTACTTCTGGGCAAGCTGACGAAGGGATGGCTCGATGATGCCACCACGAAGGCGAAGCACCAGGTGCAAGGTGGACTCTGGTGAGGAAGACAGAAGCTGAGCCCTGCCCCCACCAGCTCAGGGAAGGACTCACACAGAACCTTCATAAAGAGGCTTCCCACATTGTTGCCAAACGTTAGACCTCCTTAATAAGTGAAGGACTAAAACCCAGTTCTTTCACTTTTGTAATATACTGAGGCCTGAAGACACTCAGGTCCTGTGGGAGCGCAGGTCAAACAAACCAACACGAAAAATGTCCAGAGGCCAGCCAGGTACAGACATCAGAGCAAGCTGTGACATCTCTGCACTCTACCAGGATGCTATGGCACATCCTGCTGACACACCCCAGGGCTAGGCAAGCAGAGGATCAGCAGGGAAAAGGGGGGTGGGTTGCCATGTGATGGCAGCATAGCCCTTAATCCCACGACTCAGGAGGCAGGCAGAGCTCTGAGTTCAAGGCCAGGGCTACACAGAGAAACCCTGTCTGTCTGACACGAAAGCAAGCAATGAACGAGCGGAGCTGAGGATGGTCTGAATACATCCACAGACAAGATCTGGTTGTTTGGCTCACACCTGCAACCCCAGCCTGGGTTAAAACTGAGAACTTAGCTTTAAAAAAAAAAAAGTAAAGGCTTGGCAAGTACAGATGGGTCCAGTTCTGAAACTGTCTTCTGACTTCCACTGGAAACCGCCACACATACCCATGGCAAATAAAAACTTAAGTGACAAGACATGCCACTAGAACACCACTTCAGGAGCCAACCCCTCATGAATTTTCTTCTTGTGTTGCTAGAGAGAAGTGCCACTAGTCAAGTCCTCTGCCCAACTGCCAAATAGCAAGCTGCTCTAGCCCTCACCTTTCTGGATGTTGTAGTCTGACAGGGTGCGGCCATCCTCCAGCTGCTTGCCGGCAAATATCAGTCTCTGTTGGTCAGGTGGAATGCCTGTGCACAAGAGAAACCAGGTTGGCAGCAGCTCCTTCCTGTAGGAGCTGGGAAAGCCCATTCCCATCAATAACACCCTACCCACACAACCGAGCCCCATCAACCCTGCCAACCTTCCTTATCTTGGATCTTGGCCTTGACATTCTCGATGGTGTCACTGGGCTCGACCTCAAGAGTGATGGTCTTGCCCGTCAGGGTCTTCACAAAGATCTGCATGTTAGCGTCTGCTAAGCAGAGGAAAGAGACCCATCAGTGACCCCCTGAGCAGGCCCAGTACACTTCCCCGGGAAGCTGGTTGTTAGTCCACCTTCGGAATTGCCATCCAAAACGCCCAGTAATGCCCTTTCAGCCAATCTCAACTTTCCTAGTCATCACCATCAGGACGGGAAGCCCTACGCAACAGCATGCCACTGTCTTCCAGCTAAAGGTTCGAACGCCAAAGTCTCTCTTTTCGATAAGGCAGGCTAGACTCAATGTAACCTACTTCTCAAGCGCTGAGATGACAGCTATGCATCACCACAGCGGTATTTTTTGAGACAAGTTGCAACCCAGGCAATCTTTGCAGTCCTGGGTGGTCACCCCAAAACGGCACAGGCTAATCCTCAACTCCTGAGTAGGCCAAGCATGTTCTGACCCCCCTCTGTAGCCACACTGGAACGAAACGCCCAGTGTATCTCTTGGATGGACCCAGGAGCCGCCCAGTAGCTCAGTCCAGAGCTCTTGGCCCTTCCGCCTGGGGCTCCCGGGCAGGGCTGCCGCGTGCTCGCCCAGGTCCCCAGGCCGAGCCCCGCCAGGCATGCGCGAAGCCAGAGCGGTGCCCACCGGCCACCACCTTCCCCTTGCCGGACCCCGCCGCGTCTCCGCCCCGGCCCAGCCGCTACCAGCCCAACAGCGACGCGGCCAACACCAACCCGCTCGGCCGCCTCGTTGAAGAGAAAGAGGTCGGCGGAACCGGAAACCCCCAGTCTCCTCTCAGAGCGCCTGCGCACTGAGCATGCTGAGAGTTGACGTCACAATCCGCGCCGCACGTTGTTCCCGCCCTAGGCTTCGGCCGGCGCCATGTTGGTTACTGGCAAGAGAAGCCGCGCCGCGGCCGGACGAGCAGAAGCCGCTTCCGGTGGAGCTGCGCCACCAACGCGTGAGTGACCGGCGTCCTTGCGGGTGCTTCTCGGGCTGCCTTCCGGCGTCGCCAGCCCGCCCGGCTAGTGCAGCGGTGCCCCTGTGGCTGCGGCAGGCCCGCCCGGGCTGCCCACCAGGCCCCGTGTTAGAGCAAGCCACTGCGTCCGGAGCCGCAGAGACCCGACCGACTTGGACCGGCGCTCACGTACGCAAAAGAAAGGCATATCTTGATCTCGCTCTGAAGACAGGCTGCCTCCCGAGTGCTGTGCGCCACCAACGCCCGACCGAAAAGAAAAATGTCAAGAGTGAGGCTGTGGTGGCACTAGCCTTTAATTCTAGCAGATGGGAGGCAGAAGCCAGCCAGGGCTCCATAGTGAGATTATGTCTCAAAAAGCAAAACTAATACAACCACTAGAAGTTTGAGAGAGGGGATTTAAATTTGCTTGTGAGCTTGGTGGTGTGGCTGTTCTTGTTTCTCGAACATTCCCTAGGGCATCAGGCAAAAAACAATTATATGCGGACTATCTGGGAAGATAACTTTTGTTTTGAAAATATATTTTCCCGAAAAAAATAGTCTGAAGATGATTCTTCCCACTCTACCCACCCAAATCCACACACTTTTTTGCTTTCATTGGAAAACAGACTTATGTTTTTTTAACATAGACATCTAAAATTTAAAAAAAGGACAAAATGTTAAAAAGCAAAGCACAAGAAACACGGACATACACACACACACACACACACACACACACACACACACACACGTACATATAAATAGAGACCCCAGGGCTGGAGAGATGGCTCAGAGGTTAAGAGCACTGCCTGCTCTTCCAGAGGTCCTCTGAGTTCAACCACATGCTGGCTCACAACCATCCATAATGAGATCTGGTGCCCTCTGCTGGCATGCAGGCTGTATACATAATAAATAAATACAGACATCCCATAAAGCACGAAGTTGGAAATCACAATATACAAATAAAAGGCAAAAATGCCCAGACAAAACATAAGACAAAAGCCTCCAAAATTACCATTGAGTTCATTATGTGACCTTAAAATGTGGTTTGTATGCCCAGAAAGACTCCGTTAGAGAAAACTAATTTTTCCTTTGTGAGTGGTTATCAACTGGAGATAGCTTGTGGGTTGGGATGGACATGTGTCCACTTCCCCCTTAGCACTGAGACCCTGTATGCCTCAGACCCATGCAGGCCCTGTGCAGGCTGCCAGTTTCAGTGAGTTCATACCTGTGTTGGTCATGCAGCCTTTATTTACAGACCTTGTTTCTTCAGTGTCCTCCATCCCCTCAAATCTTACTCTGTCTGCCTCCTCTTCTGAAGGGCTCCCTGAGCTCTGAGGGGAAGGATTTGGTGTTGAGAGCCCATTTAGGGCTGAGAGTCCCAAGGTTTTTCACTCTTTTTTATTCCCATCTGCTGTGGGAGAAGTGTCTCTGACGGCTGAGCAGACACTGATCTGATTCCCAGGCTGGTAGAGAGTAGCTCCTGAGAAGGAACTTTTTAAGTTTATTTAATCTATTTATTACTTACTATTTTTGTTTTTTTGAGACAGGGTTTCTCTGTGTAGCTTTGGAGGCTGTCCTGGAACTAGCTCTTGCAGACCAGGTTGACCTCAAACTCAAAGATCCGCCTGCCTCTGCCTCCTGAATGCTGGGATTAAAGGCATGCACCAGCAACACCCTGCCTGAGAAGATACTTTTAATGACTCATGTAAGTATGTAAATTGAGTTTTTTCCCTACTAGTGCCAGAAAGGGGCACTGGATCCCCTCAAATCAATTCCAATTTAGGGGATCCAGGGAAACAGCTTGGCCGTTTTCTTTTTGTTTTTGCTTTTTGAGTTGGGATTTCTCTGAAACAGTCCTGGCTATCCTGGAACTCTGTAGACCAGGCTGGCCTCGAACTCACAGAGACCCGCCTGCCTCTGCCTCTCAAGTGTTGGGATTAGAGGTGTGTGCCACCAACGCCCTGCTGCCCCCAGCTCTACCTGATGTTGTTTTACTTTCATGAAGGTTATTTTACAGTGCTGGAGCTGGACCCTGGGTCTCTTGCACTATCATTTAAAAGTGCTCCAGGGAGGTGGGTGTGGCAGCTCACCTTTCATCCAAGCAGAGGTAGAGGCAAACAAACCCGCATGGTGTGATGGGTATCTGTCATCCCGTTATGTCAAAGTAGCCATCCTCCAGAACCAGCTTCCCAGGGGCTCCCAGGCCAAAGGGTGTCCTTGCCAGGGACAGTGATGTCTCAGAGAAGGTGGTCTAACAAAGGGTAGCCCCAGACTCTGCCCTTGGACCTCACAAGGAGTGCCTCTGGCACAGCCCAGTTTTAGTAGTTCACAGGGTTTGGTGTTTGGGCAGCTCCTCCAGCAGGCCCCCCCTGACATCCAGAATCTGCCCTCATTCTGGGGTGTGAGCCCCAAACAGAAACAAGCCACAGCTGTGCAGTGTTCCCTTTTAAGAGTATCTTTACTGATAACTTCCCGACAGCATTTATAAACATCGGTACAAAAATATTCCATTCAGTTGTTTTCTAGGGGACTGGCTGGCTCCTGGAGATGCCTGCTAGACCTGTGAGAAACAGCTCCCCAGAGTCAAGGCTGCCTCTGTCTTGAACCTTCTACCTCTCCCAGAATTCAACACAAGAAAAAAAGCACTCCAGAATTAAATCAGCAGCTGCCAGCTGTTAGGGACAAGCTCAGCCCTACAGGCACCATTTACCTCCAGGGGGCCCCCACCATGACTTGGGGGGACATCTGGCTTTGGTCTCTGGAAACTCTAGAAGTACTTTCAGAGCTGGCCAAGGCTGAGCTGCAGGATACCTTTAGCCAGCCCCACTGCCCCAGCTAGGGTGCATGTCCTGGCATAGGGAAATCCCACTTTTAGAAGGGGCAGGGATTAGGAACCCTGCCTATGACAGAATGGAGCAGCAAAGCTGACCAAATGTGACCCTGGGAGGACCACTGCTGCCCTGGCCTTTCTGGGATGGTGGGAAGGGGGGCTATTCTCCATGTGTCTCTTCCTCGTCATCTGTGTGGCTGTGGCCGTTGATAGCAGGGGAACCAGGTCTAATATGTGATAGGTCCTCAAAGCCAGGACTGAGAGACGGTGAGACAGTGTCAGGACTGGTGTCACAGGAGCCTGTGCTCTGCTCCGAGGTGGCGATGGTTGTGGTGATACTGGGTGGAATGGGGTCTTCATCTTCGTCCTCTAGGAATGTCCCCTCTGGGATGTCTGAGGAAGGACCCCCATGCTGGTCAAGGTATGGACCCAGGCCTTCCTGTAAGGGTGGCCCCTAAAACTCTTTCTCACCCATGGGGGCATGAAATCAGCCCAATTTACAAAAGAGGAAATGGAGGCCTGGGTAGGTAGAAGGCATTTCTCTTGTCAGGGTTCCAGAGTGAGGCTGACTCAGAGAGATCATTCCCTTTGTCATTGACTAAAGCAACAGATGCCCGAGTCAGGCTCTGTCTGCAGCAGCACAGCACCTCTGGCCAGGAGCCCCACCTGCTCTGCCTCATCTTTGCATCCTATGGTGGAGGCAGTAGAGTCAGGAGCTCAGGGTCATCTTTAGCTACATAAACAATTGAGGCCACCTTGGACTACATGAGACCATGTATCAAAAACACAAACACAAAGATGCTGTGAAAAGTTGGGGTCCCAGTGGTATCACAGCCATAGACCTGAGAACTGGATTCTTTTTCCAGCCCTGAGGCTCCACCCACTCACACCCCAGACAGTATCACTTCCCTCCATCCAGGCCTCAGTTTCCCCTCTGTGAAATGGAATGTGTAGTCCCCACCTCACAGGTGATTAGAGGTGATAGTCTGGCTCACCAGGGCTCCTGGGTGTTAAGATGACAGAGCTGTCACCATTCATTCCTGAAACCTGCCTCCAGAAGACACTGCAGCTTCTGCAACCTCCCACTGCAGAGGCCTCTCCACCCACCTCCCTTGGGACCCTGGATGGGCAGCTGTCCAGGCAGCCTTCAGAAGCCAGCCCTAGGTGGAAGGTGCTGGCAGCAGCAGGGTGAGGGGTGGGGCACACTTACGACTGAAGGCCTCTGGGTGCTGCCGGGCCAGCTTCCCCTTCAGTGTCCTGTGGGGAAGGGGACAGACAGGGATGAGCCACCAGCAGGAACGGCATTAGGCTCTGGGAACTACCTGTCTCTCCCAGCCCAGGGTGGCAGTCTCTTGCTGTGCTGTTATCACAGGGTTCTGCTCATCTCTAGAGCTGTTCCAGCACCTTGGGGGAAGCAGGAGCTGAGATCATGACAAGAGATGACCACCATCTTGCTGCTTTCTGTACCTTGTTCTTTCTCTTTTGGCTCCCAGGTGTTGGGGTCAGAGCTCTACACTGGGTCTTCCTCAGTTCATGTCCACCTTGTTTGTTCAGACAGTGCCTCCGTGGACCAAGAGTTGAGTGTCAGCTGGGCTGTCCATTCAGAAGCCCCAGCACCCACCTGTTCTCTGCCTCCTCAACACAAGGGTGACAACTCACATGCTACTGCCCCACATTTTAAAAACTCCTTTTATCTTTAAGTATTCACATGTTTCTGTGTGTGGAGACACACAGAAACAGGTGCCTAAGGCTAACTCCAGTTCTCCAGAGTTACAGGCAATTGTGAGCCACCTGACATGGCAAGGGAACCAAACTCCAGTCCTCTGCAAGAGCAACACACACTCTTTTGTTTGTTGTTTTGTTTTTCAAGACAGAGTTTCTCTGTCCTGAAACTCACTCTGTACACCAGGCTGGCCTTGAACTCACAGAGATCCTCCTGTGTCTGCCTACTGAGTGCTGGGATTAAGGGCGTGAGCCACCACCACCTGGCTACACCTGACTTTTTAAATGTATGTTCTGAGGATTTGAACTCTGGTCCTCACAAGTGCTCAACACGCACTTTGCTTGCCCAGTCATGTCCCTTCTTAGTTTTTTAGAGACAAAGTCTTGCTGTGTAGTTCAGGCTGTATTTGAACTCACCATGTAGCCCCACTGACCAGGAATTCAAGACCTCCTTGTCTTATTTTCCTGTGTGCCAGATGTGTGTGTCATCACTTCAGTTGGCTTTATTGCCTTCAGAACTGGCTGCTGGTCACTCTGCCCCTAAGCCCTGCACTGAAGGTGTGATAGGCAGCTGAGGAACTTCAGAATATATGGCCTCCACCCTGACTGCAGCCATTCGTGAAGAGCACACAGCTGAGGCACAGCACATGGCAGGCTGGACTTGTCGCCTTTCTGGGGAACTAGGACACATGCTGCCGACTGTCAACTCCTGGGGCTCACAGGGTTGAGTGAGCCTGGTGTTGGGAGATAGAAATGTGTGCTTAGAGAAACATTAGGAGCCAGCAGTGGCAGGGCATCTTAGCACTAGGGATGTGGTGAGGCAGGAGGATAAGGGGTCCAGGGTTATCCTCATCTATATGACTGAATTTGAAGTCAGCCTGAGACCCTGACTCAAACAATATCAAGACTGTAATAAAATAATAAAAAAAGGCCAGGTGTGGTGGCACATACCTCTGCATATGGGAGGCAGAGCCAGGTCGATCTCTAGGATAGCCTGGTCTACATGGTGAATTCCAGGACAGCCAGAACTATATAGTGTGACCTAGTCTCAAAAGCAAAACAAAAAAAGCCAGGTGTTGGTGGCGCACGCCTTTAATCCCAGCACTCGGGAGGAAGAGGCAGGTATATCTCTGTGAGTTCGAGACCAGCCTGGTCTACAAGAGCTAGTTCCAGGACAGCCTCCAAAGCCACAGAGAAAACAAAACAGACAAACAAAAAATACGAATAAACAGAATTAAAGCCAGGTGTGGTGGTGCATACCTTTAATCCCAGCACTGAGGAGGCAGAGGCAGATTGGATCTTTGAGTTCCGGACCTGTCTGGTCTATAGAGGGACTTCCAGAATTTGAAAAGACTGATCTAAAACACCTAGATCTAGACTTCTGGGTAGAGCTTATTTGTCCCCTTAGCTCCAGCGAGGCTCCCCAGGTCAAGATCCCCTGTGGCTCTAGCTGTCCTAGGTCTGGGCAGCTGGCTGCAGCTGTCACCACAGCAGTGATGGGTGAGGCTGTGAGGTACACCTGGAGCCCTCTGAGAGTCAAGGACATGGATGTCCTGGTGCTCTGCTGGCTGCTCAGCCTGCCTTCACAAGTGGAGGGCCCAGGCCCTCCCTACCCAGCTGTCACCTCTCCTGCCTTTCTTGTCAGGCCCTAGCAGTATGGACCAGATGACAAATAAAGGAAAAGTCACTACTTCCAGGTCACTCCCTCAGAAGTCACAACCACCTTGTGAAACAACCAGAATACCCAGGGCTGGAGAGGGCACAGGGTAGGGTCCTGGAGGGAAGAGGAGGAAACCCCATAGGGAGGGGAGGGTACCCTGGGAAAGAGGGAGAAGTGAGAATTGTGAAGGAATGGGGGGGTGGGAGGAGGGTCTGATGGGGTCTCAAGGGAAAGGGCGTAGCTTAAGGAAGGGCTGAAGGTGAAAAGCCCAGCTGAGTCCCTGGGACGGGCCTTGAGAGTGGAGGGCAGGGCACCTAAAGAGCTGGGGGACAGACCAAGGAAGGGGCCAATCCTGTGGGCTGGGGATGAGGGTTTGGAGAAGATGCTCTGTAAGACAGGGAGGATGCAGGACGAAGATGCTGGGGCAGCTGGCTATGGGGCCACAGGGGAGCTCTGGGGAGGAGGGCACCTGATCCTGCGGAAGATGCTGTCCAGGTCCCGTTTCATGTCCACCAAGGTGCGAGTATGGTGCATGAAGCGCTCACTCATTTGCTGCAGTCGCACGCTGGACAGGTTGTTGAAGTTCAGAAGCATCTCGTTGGTTTTCTCAAAGCGGTCCAGCCTGTGGGGAGAGGGGAAGGGCGCTTGCATCAGCCCTAGGAGCCTCTTGGCCTGAGCTGAGAGTCACAGCCTCTGCAATTACAGAGCTACAGCCTGAAGATTTCTGTTTGCTGTAATGGTCACCCAACTCCTACTCACCCTTGAAAGCCCTATTCAAAGGCAGCCTGCATTTTTCATGATTTTGTGTGTGTGTGTGTGTGTGTGTGCATGAGTTTCTTCTGACAGGTTCCTACTACATAGCCTGGTGAATGACCATGTCCTAGTGTCCTAGTATTTGTTTTGTTTGCTTGCTTTTTGAAGACAGAATATCTGTGTGGCCCTGGCTGTCCTGGAGCTCACTGTGTAGTCCAGGCTGTCCTGGAGCTCATTCTTTAGTTCAGGCTGTCCTGGAGCTCACTGTGTAGTCCAGGCTGTCCTTCTCCCAAGTGCTAGGATTCCAGGCCTGTGCCACCACACCTAGTCACAAGGCTGACAGGTTATTATTTCTAGGTTTTATGAGATAGGGTTTCTCTGTGTAACATTTCTGGCTGTCCTGGACTCGGGAGGCAGAGACAAGAGGGTTTCTGTGAGTCAGATGTCAGCCTGATCTACAGAATAAGTTCCAGGACAACCAGGGCTACATATTGAGAACCCTGTCTTAAAAAATAACTAAGTAAATATGAGGTGGAGAGCACCAGGGGAAGACGACTGCCAACAGCCTCTGGCCTCTGTTGGAAGGGCTGTTCACTGGAATGGACTTGAGGTCTCTGCATGCTTGGCAAACCAAACCACCAAGTTGCATCTCAGCCCGGTACCTGCCTTTCACCCCAAGCCCAGCTGAACTCAAGATGAGGTTGCCCCAGTGAGGGAGAAAAGCACAGTTGCAAGATGGGGGGGGGGAGACTCAGGGGGACAACCACTGAGATGGGGACAAGGACACCACTGCTCTGCCCATGGCCTGCTCACATGTTCTTCTGGGCCAGGATGATGGCATTGACATCATCAGTGTTCACCATGCTGAGGAAGCGGCCACAGAAGACCCTCGAGGCAGAATCTGGGGGGTCCATCTCTTTCTCCTCCACCTCTGATGCCTGAAATGACCAGAACAGGGTGTGAAGTCAGCACTAGGGCTGGTGAGGATGTCAAGAGCCCATCACAGACCTAACAGGTGCCACCCCAACCTCAGAACACTTAGGCTGGGGACTTGGAGTGTTTAGGGGCCTAACAGAGATCCATCCCTAGCCACATAAGCCAGATGAGCTGAGCATGGTAGCACACCTGTAATTTCAGCATTCAGGAAGCTGAGGCAGGGGGATGGAGAGTTCTAAGCTACCTGGGGCTGAAGAGCGAGACCATTCTGTCACCCTCCATAGCTCACACTGGCACAAGAACCTGAACTTTTCACATGCACAGGTTGGGCTATATCATTTCTCCCTTACCTGTCCTCACTACACTCTGCAAAGCTGTCACCCCACCTCCTGTTTGGCTTTAGGTCAGAGTTTTTTGTTTTTTGTTTTTTTGAGACAGCGTTTCTCTGTGTCTTTGGAGGCTGTCCTGGAACTAGCTCTTGTAGACCGGGCTGGTCTCAAACTCACAGAGCTCCGCCTGCCTCTGCCTCCCGAGTGCTGGGATTAAAGGCGTGCGCCACCATGCCTGGCTAGGTCAAAGTTTTATATTTGGTCTATGTGGGACATGCATGGGTGCCACAGCACTCATGTGACAGTGACGGGACAAACTGCAAACTGCAGACACCGCTTCTCCTCAGACACAGAGGCCCAGGAGCTGAGCTGCATGCAGCCATGGGTGCCAGTCAGAGTTCATGTCCTCTTCCAGCGCAGCAAGTGTTCTGAGCCTTCTCTCTAGTCCCATTCTTCCACCACTGTTTGCCTAGAACTTTACCAAATAGGCTAGGCCAGATGGCTTACATGCTCCCAGGGATCTTCCTATAGCTGCTTAGCATCACTGAGCCCCAGCTTTGGGTGTAGTTTCTGGGGATTGAACCTGGGTCTTGCTATGTAGACCAGGCTGTCCTTAAACTCATAGAAATCTGCCCCCCTCTGCAGCCTGAGTGCTGGGATCAAGACTGTATGCCATTACGCCTGTTCCTATGTTTCTGAGGCAGTTTCTTAACGTAGCCCATGGTGACTTCTGACTTACTGAACAGCTGAAGACAACCTTGAATTCCTGATCCTCCTGCCTCCACCTCCCGAGTGCTGGGGCAGTGGGTATACCTGTCATCACACCTGCTTTCCTGTGACACCTCAGTTATCAAGAGTCAGCTGGTCTGACAACAATGAAAAAGACCCTGTCTCAAAGACAGTGGAAGGCAAGGACAGACCCCTGAGGCTGACCTCTGCAAGTGCACGCGGAACAAGCACAGACACTCCAAACAAATTCAGCTCTAAGCTTGGTTTGGGGGCAGAAAGTTGGCTCAGGAAAGGGTGCTCCCTATCAAGCATGATGACTTCAGTTCAAACCCTGGGACCAACATGATGGAAATAGAGAACGAACTCCCAAAAGTTGTCCTCTGACCTATACATGCATGCGACAGCAAATATAGGTACTCATCACATACATATACATGAAATTGACACATAAATATGTACTAAAACCAGGCTTAGCAGGGCACAGCAACATCACACACCTGTAATCCCAGTACTTTGGAGGCAGAGGCAGGCAGGTCTCTGAGGTCGAGGCCAACCTGGTCTACACAGCAAGTTCCAGAATAGCCAGGGCTACATAGAGAAACCCTGTCTCAAACAACAGATACACTCAAGCACACATGCATGCATGCAGGCGGTCACACACATACAACAAGCTTAGGGGCTTAGCCTACTGAGGCAGTGGGATTACTTCAAACCCTAGGCCACTCTAGGAAACAGCACAGTCAGTTCCAAGCCAGCCTGGGCTACTGTGTGAGACCTGTCCTCAAAAATGAAACAAAGTATTTATCTCTGAAGCTAACTACACTTTTATCAACAACTTAAAGTCAAGGGGTCAAGGCCCAGGTGGCCTGCCAGTCTGACACTGGATGGCTTACAGTTCATAGCATCCAGTAGGCAGATGATGGCCTCTGCTGTGCCTGGTGAGCAAGGCACCACAGACCAGTGCAAAACAGGGAAGTCACAGCGCCAACCCTTCTCTGATATTCAGGAAAATCCAAGGATCCTGACAAGACCTGGCTTACAGAGTCCAACCTTGCTTGGGCAAGATTCACACATAGCAACCAGGCATAGTGGTACACTGGCAACCCACAGTTAAAGAGGTTAAGGCAGGAGGATCTGGAATTCAAGGCCAATCTCAGTCACAAGGATGAAAGCCACATGGGGCTAAAGAGCTAGCGACAAATATGCTGTGTGGTGGTTTCCTCCATTCCAGTACACAGTGACTGAGGCAGGAAAACTGGAAGGAGTTTAAGGGAGCCTGAATTAGACAGTCAGTTCCAGGTGGGGGCAGCCAGGCACATTGGCACACACCTTTAATCTCACCACTTGGGAGACAGGGGCAGAGAGAGAAAGAATGGAGGAAAGAGGCTCAGTACAGCTAGACACAGCAGTGCATCCATCTGCAACCCTAGTGCCTTAATGGAGACAAAGGAGGCAGAGACAAGAAAATAGCTAAAGCCCAGCTCACAGAAAGGTGAACGAGAGATGCCGTCTCAAACACAGTAGAAGGCAAGCAACGAGAGGCGTCCATCGGTATTCTCTGACCTGCACACCCCGCACACGCATACCAAAAGACAAAAAACACACGTATTTAAGTCAGGTGTGGTAGCAGAATCAGGTACATCTCTGAGTTAGAGGTGTACAGAGTGTTCCAGGACAGCCAGGGCTACTGGGGAAAAAAAAAAGAGAAACTAGCTGTGGGCAGGGCATGGCCCCTTTGATGCAACAATCACACAGTCCAGTCATACAAAGTCATCAAGCAAAAGGCAGATACATGGTGGTAGACCCCAGCACATGGGGAGAGGAAGGCAGGAGCCAACCTTCAAGACCAGTCAGGACTTCATAGATCTTCCCAGTCAACCTGAGCAACATAGGAAGACTCTATTTCAGGTGGAAGATGGCCTGTGACATGGCTCAGTGCATAAAAGGTGTTTGCTATCAAGCCAGATGACTCAAGTTCAAACCTGGGACACATGGTAGAAAGAAAACCAACTCTTGCAGAATGTCCCCTGACCTAAAGACGTGAAGGTGTATGCCCCACCCCAAAATAAATAGAATAAATAGTTTTAAAAAGAAAAAGACGTGGATAAAGGATAGAGTCAAACAGGCTAATGGCATCTCTCAAATGCAGAATTTTGACTCGAGATTTTGTTGATCAAATTATTAGTCTTGGACTGGGGCTGAAATGGTGGCATGAAAAAGGGCCAGCTTGGGCTATACAAAGAGATCTAGGCCACCCTAAGATGCATGACACCCTATCTTAAAACACAGGCCAAGCATGACAGCTCATGTTTGTCATTCTAGCACTCATGCCGGGCATTGATGGCGCACGCCTTTAATCCCAGCACTCGGGAGGCAGAGGCAGGTGGATCTCTGTGAGTTCCAGGCCAGCCTGGTCTACAGAGCTACTGCCAGGATAGGCTCCAAAGCTACACAGAGAAACCCTGTCTCGGAAAAACAAAACAAAACAAAACATTCTAGTACTCAGGTGCCTGAAGGACTGCTGTAAATTCAAGGTTAATCTGGGCTACATAGTGAGTTCCAGGCCAGCATGGGAGAAAAGTCGAAGAAAGTAAAACAATCAGGTGTGGTGAATGCCTGTGTTCATCGCTAAGGGAGGAAAAAGATCAAAGTTCAAGGCCATCCTTTGTTTTTTGAGTTCCAGGCCAGCCTGGGACAAGTAAGACCCTGACTCAATGCAAGACAACACAGGCCCGGCGTGGCAAGTCACGATTGTAAATCCCAGCGCTCTCGAGAGACTGAGGCGAGCGCACTTCAAGGAGCTGAAAGGCAGTCTGGGCTTCTATCTCAAAAACAAATTTAATGGCTTTCCCCTCGAACTAGAGTGGCTGAAGCATAAGGATTACCAGGAAACGGAGGCTGATTTGGGCTACTACCTCAAAAAACAGTACATCTCCCCCAGGAATGCAAAACTGACTGACAGGGCTTCGCGCCTCAAGGTCAAAATCAAGGAGCACAAGGCGTCGGAATCCTAACCGAAGTCATCTTGACGGCCCCGACTCCCAGGGGCAGAAAACAAAAACAAAAGAAACCAAACCGGATAAGGCGGGGCTGAAACATGCAC